AGTCATCAAGGGGATCTTTCAAGTGCTATCATTGTCACAAGGACGGTCATTTCAAGAGGAACTGCCCAGACAGGAAGAATAAGTATCAAGAAGAGCCAGAAGAATCAGGAGAAGCAAGCGTAGCCTCTGATGACTACGATTCTGCTGAGGCCTTAGTGATCACAGAATCTAAATCCAGTGAGTGTATCCTTGACTCAGGGTGTTCTTTCTACATGTGTCTTCACAATGACTGGTTCGAGACACTGCAATGGGGAAATGATGGGTCCGTTCTACTGGAAGACAATAAAGTTCACAGGATTGTTGGAAGTGGATCAATCAGGATAAGAATGTTTGATGAAGTTGAACGAGTACTGAAAAATGTCAGGTACGTACCAGAGCTAAAAAGAAATCTGATTTCTTTAGGTACGCTGGAGTCAAGCGGATGCTCATTCAAGGCAGAGAATGGCTGCATCAGAGTAACCAAAGGCCCTTGTGTCGTCATACAAGGAGTCAGGAAAAAGGGGTTGTACTCTCTTATCGGAAAAACCGTGATTGCTAAGTCCATGTACTGTTTGGACCTAGCAGACTCAAGCAAGGGCTGAGGGCCTCTCAGGGGCCAGGTGAAGGGAATCTTTACTTCAAAGCTTCTCAATTGAGGGTCAAGGTGGAGAATTGTTATTTTGACCCTCAATTAATGAACTAAAGTAAAAGAGCACTTTTGTAATGTGGTGCAGCTCACCTACCACATCTCACCTACCGTTCACCTACTGCTCACCTACCGCTCACCTACCGCTCACCTACCTCTCACCTACCACTCTCTTGCTTCTATAAATAGAGAGGGTGTGAGGCTTAGGAGAGCAAGGGAAGAAATCTTAAGGGTGTGAGGCTTAGGAGAGGAAAGGGAGAAGCTATCTTAAGCTACCACAAAGGAGGAGAGAATAGCTATAGAGTTAGAGAGGAAGAGAGCATCTTGAGGCCTTGTATCAAGGTGTCGCTTGAGAGGGAGGCCATAGAAGGAAGGTGAGGGCTCATCTCTATGTATAAGCTATGTATCCTCCATTTCTTTTGCCTTAGTGAAATATTTGATTGATTCCCTCCCGTGGACATAGATCCAGTTGAATCGAACCACGTAAACGATCTATGTTTGCTTGTGTTCTTTTCGTCTCATTTCTATGCCAGGAAGTACATATCTCACAACATAACTTGTTAAAAAATAAATGATAAACCTCCCCGCCATCTCTACCACCATATAATCCTCCCCCTCGTTGTTTTAGTTGAGAAAGATACCCATCGATGCCAATCTACTGTCCAACAACAAGTTTTGCTTTGGAACCCTTTCAAATATCATTACCCTCACATTTTATTATTCCCTCACTATTCCACAGCCCCCCCTTGATAAGCCCGTCTTATTTAATACTTTCTTAGAGCCCTAAAAGATATATTTCTCTCTCTCTCTCTCTCTCTCTCTCTCTCTCTCTCTCTCTCTCTCTCATCCTAATCATAAATGAACTTGGGAGTAATAGTCACATTATCATTTTGAAAGATTTACATACATACCACTCAAGTTCCTTTACATTCACATGTTGAATATCAAAACTTTAATTCTTATATATGTCACCTTACCTTTGCAAAGAAGAGTGTATTTTACATTTTAAAGGTTAAAATATTGATATTTTTTATATGATATGAAAGATTCAGCTGTATAAATGTAAAAAATAAGATTTAAGTGTTGGATATATATATTTTTCACTGAAACATTTAACCGTAATTATCAGTACTGTAGGGGTTAGTTTGCCTAATATCTCTGCCAATCACCACTGTTGCTGCATAATCGTGCCAACTTTATTAATAAAAAGAAAATACCCCTGCATAGGCTCCTGATACATAATTAAGGAAACATCTTATTACAATACATTAAATTAAATACTTAAATGATTGATTTATTTTTCATCTAGAAATAATGAAAATTTTTACAGTAATTTTGAATATATTTATATGAAGGGCAACTAAAAACTATTATAAACATGATAATTTCTTTAAGAATACATGAATGACGATTTAAATACCACCATCATCAAAAAATGTGTTGGGCCACAAAAATACGAAGGGTTGTGCTTGAATGTGTCAATGTTGGTTAGAAATAAATGGTAGCAATTACGGCTAATATAGTATTTATAAACCCTGTGGGCAGAGAATAGAAGAAGCAAAAAAGGGAAAATGGGCTAATAATAAGAGAAAGCAAGGAGAAAACTGGAGGAAAGGGAACAAACAGAGGATATAGCTTAGAGAACCTGAGCAAAGGGTGCATACTTCAAGCTTCAGGGAAGACGCTCATTCATATTCACAAGGTAGATGATTCTCCATGGAATGTTCTAAAAGGTCCCCAAAATAACTCCTCCCATCAAAACCTAATAAAAATACATTACTATTCCTTCATGGCCTCTGAAGTAATAACTAAGGCCAAAAAACAAGGCACAATCCATGAGTCGTAGCATTAACCAAGGCTTGATCTTTTAATGGATTTCTCTAAAACATGAACATCGCTCAAGGTGGAGCACTTTGATAATGAGAAACAATTTCTAATGCCAACCAGTTTGAATTGTCAAATTCTCCATTGTAAATGATTCATTGTCAATAGATTCCCAAGTCATGATCTCAAAATGCTTAAACCTGTTAAGGAGAACATTTTGGTATAATATTTATACTAATGCCACTTTCTTGAAGCTTGATAGTACGAATCCTAAACATTTTTTCATGTTGATACCATATTTCTCTGCTGGTCTCACAGGCGTGTCAAGACTTCATCAGACTCTGTCCACCCGACCTCAGAACTGTTGGATCTCTTGAAATGTTTCTGTTAATTATAAGACGTCCATCCACTCAACATCTTGCATCTATTCAGTTGTGCTTCAACCTAATCAAACTCTTTCAGCCAAAAAAATTCTCAAAGCTCACACATCATCGCCGCAATATAAGAATGAACTCAAAGCCAAAAAAGACGAGCTTGGCCAGTGAAGATGAAGTACAAGAGACCAACATGATGTCATGACCCCATAATACCAAACAACACCATCAATGACCATAACACTTGACCCAGAGCTCAAGTACAAAATAGATTGAACAGTCCATTTCATTGTTGAATCTTTCAAGTTATAGGCATCCAAAAAGAAGGGATAACTGATAATTGGATTAAGTACCTCATTCTTGGATGGCATGTCAAACCATAAAAATTTAGAGTCACTAAGAACACTGCCATATGAATGACCACTTTCTTCATTGCAAAACAAACTTCATAAAAAATTAAACTCAAAATCCATAAGTCCTAAACGACACCCTCTCATTTTGATGGGGGCTCTTGCAGATTTAACGACTCTCAAAACAAAATTTATACATCATTCATAGCCCAACATATGCATTATTGATAGCCCAACACCCTTTACTGTTCACAACTAGAAACTGAGGGCTTTACCGTTTTGAAGTAATATCATCACCCAAGTAAAATCTCCAGCTCACAACGTATCTGCCACGCAGGCAATTGTCATCGTTGCACAGATATTGACATTTCATCCTCATCAATAACAACTAAGACTCTTCAAACATTTTACACCCCTCAAACAGTGAATAAATAAAAAAGAAAGTCAGGGCACTGAGGAAAACAAAAAACAAAAAGAGAGAACAAGAGAGGGGAGTCTGGAGAGCATAAGTAGTCATCAAACAAAAAAGTCCTCTCAAGAAGTGTGCAATTTTAGATCTCCCATGTAAACCAAATTTGCTTGATGGTTTAGCATTTTCTATTATCTCCCAAATCACATACATTTTGTATGTAAATGCTCAATGAATGGGGAAAAATATCACCCAACTACAACGGACATAGGATCTACTTGTCGGAGTACCATAGATCCCATGTCAAATAATGCTATCTTCTTCTCTTCACTTTTCTACTGGCACATGTATCAGTACATTGAAGTTTAAAGGCTTTTGTTTAAGTAGATCTAAAACTGAATAAATGAAAAGAAATTTTAGCAACGGTAGATTTAGTGGTAGAGTTGTAAAAATGGGTGAATGTTTGAGAAATTTCGGGTCTATTGTTCAAAGTGATGGTAATACACATGGGGATTTTATTATTAGAATTCTAGTTGATTGGTTGAAGTAAAAAAATGCATCAGACCTATTGTTTGATCGAAAAATATTGCTTGAACCGAAAGGAAAATTTTATAAGATGGTGGTGAGATCTGCAATGCTCTATGGCACAGAATGTTGCCCTTTAAAAGAGAAGCATAAAAAAAAGCGTTGCTAAGATGAGAATGCTTAGACGGATGAGTGGCTTGACATGATAGGGTTGGTGTAGCTCCGGTGGCGGACAAGATTAGAGAGAGTCGTCTTAGAAGATTGGGTCACATTAATCATTAACCACCTGATAATCATGTTACGAGGATGGTTGTTTTAGATTTAACTTATGCTAAGAAAGGCAGAGGTAGGCCTAAAAAGACTTAGGCATATTATATAAAAAAAATGATCTTAATCTATTAGAAATAAATGTATCACTCACAAGCAAACTTACCTAAATCACAAGCGACTTCTTATTCTTTTCCCAAACCCACATATCACAAAAAGAAATCGCTCTTGGCTGCATCTGTTTGGTCTCTTAATACAGTTTTTTTCCTTAGTTACACCAATAACATTCGGCAATGTCACACAAATAACTTTCGACAATGTCAATATATATATATATATATATATATATATATATAATCAGAATCGACAACCCAAATTGAAACTCCCATTCATCACTTATTAAAGAATAACGTTATAAAAAATTGGGAGACAAACTGTACTTATATGAACCGATCAACATGCCCAAGAAAAATTGCATCTAAGTATCTGCCCATATTAATTAATCACCTAAGCAAAATTAAATTAGTTTATTTGTGTGAATTTTTTTGAGGGGCATAACAATACTCCTATGATTACTTTAGAGGAAAATAGAAGCCTCGTAAACTCGGTTGATTGAACCTAGCGAACCCATTAGCACAGAAGTTGCAAGGCAAATATAACAGTGGAGAAAAAGAATAATGTTATTATATTAGCCAAAATCCTAGATGAAGAACAAAAACTACAGAGCATAGGACAGTTATTTACATATTATATGGTTTTACCTTTTGAGGAACCTACATTTATTATTCCCAATTAAGGAGAAATTGACCAGGAACAGAATTTGTCTCCCCTTTCAGGCTTGAAACACCCTCTTAACAAATCCCTTCATGGAGCTGCCCACACTGGCCCCAATTGCCTCGGCTAAATAAGCAACCTGAAGACAAGTTCGTTTGGTCAGCTTCCACATTTTATTTAAGAGAATAGGATTAAAAAACTAGGATTGTAATACCTCCAGAACACTTTTCTGAAGTTCAAAAGCATCCTTCACTCGATGCTCCAAGAAATTCCAGGTATTTCGAAATTCTATGAAGGAAAAATTATACATTCAAAAATGACTGTCTCGCCTGCCTTCACAATAATGTCTACTTTCACTGAAGAATTTGTCTATTGCCTATATATCAATATATCTATGTGGTACAGAATTATTTAAATTTAAAGATTTCTTAATGCAAATAAAACTATAAAATAAATGTATAGCACAAAAAATATCAGGATTCAGAGATCAGAGACTATTAAATACACAAAAATCAAATTTCTTTGATTACATAGAACACAAAGGACAATGCAATAATAAACTAAATATAAGAAAATCAAGAACAAATTTGTATAATATAAAACAAACAATTAAATGAGCATTTTCTATTGATTTAACACATAAGTTGTATTAAAGTTGACAAAATAAAAAACTCTAGCAAGTCAAATAACAAGAGACTTAAAAGTAATGATATAAAAGAGGAAAAAAACTTATTTAAAAAAAAAGAATCCAAGCCTCACATTGGTACTAGCATTGCATCAATTTGAGTGATAATTATTTTTTGCTCCATCTTAAGATTTTTTTTTCTTTTAAAGTGAGGTAAGATAACTCTTCCATAAAATTAAAATTTTCAAAATTTTAAATGGGATGCTTGTACTCTTCTCGTAAATTTTGAAGTACAAAAAATTGGAAAAACTAATATTTTAAGTCAAAGAACTTTTATAAATCATTCTTTTTTGCAAGTTTGTCTCAACATTCATTTTAAAAATAGTATATAAATATATAAATATGTAAAAGCTATAAAAATATTATATTTCATTATTTGGCTTTTTCCGCTAATTTTGCTTTTGATTCATCACATTAATTTATAAAATAAGTGGTGTTATAAATTCACATAAAAATTTTAATATAAAATAATTTATTTAAAATATTACAAAATAGTAGTCTTAAATGCAAATCTAAGAGAATTTTAGTAATATTTTTTTAAATAAAAATCAAACAAAAGAATAAAAAATAATTTAAAATTATCAAAGTAAATTCCAATCACGATTCTAAGAAATAACTCGAATAAATTAAATTATTTTAACGAGTCTTCAGTGGTTGTCACTCTTAGGCTTCTAAGATTTTATCTTTCCTCAATAAAAGAAAAATACCTCATCCAATTAATTTTAAATGAAATCCTTTCCCTCTTTCTAACATTATCACAAAAAAATAAGAGAACTTGTTTTCATGACCCATCCAATTTTTCATTTTCTCTCCGTAATCCTTCGCAGTAAAGTACATAATAATTTATAGAGATTAGGTGCGAGTAATATTTAAAAATGAGGAACATTTTTTTCCTTATATAAAGAATATAATTATAATATATTCAGTCTCTTCTTAAGTACCAAAAATAATCAAAAATAAAAAATCTCTCCCAAATTTATTAGATAGCTTTTTAATAAATAATTAAACCAAAAATTATTTAAATCTAACTTTAAGCATTTAATTTTTTTAATTTGGCATAGGACTAAACTCATAAAACAAACTGCGATAGTTGTGGCTTGGAGAGATTAGGAACGACATTCGACTAGAGCAGGCAAGTCAAACAGAGATACTTCAATTTTAGGCGATTGCGGCTTCGAGCAGTGGAGTAACAACATTTGGCTGGAGTAGAGAAGTCAGATGGAGGTTATGCGGCATCGGGTGCACGAGGGATGTGTTTCTTGAGTAAGAAGAGCAGGAGAATTTCGTGCGTGGAAGAGGGAATAGCTAGCGGTATATATGACAAAGAAAACAGAGGGTTATACCTAATGCATCTTAAGAGATTTAAGTTCGAATAATATAAAAAGGAACATCTGGGTGTGAAATAGGTAAATACCTATGCTTCCTGTGCTGCGTATGTAAAATCGCCTATTATTTTTTAAAATTATTATAAAACACCTAATCTCCATGAGACTATTTTCTTGTATTGCATGAGACTATTTTCTTGTAATATACTCCACCTTAATTATGGCAACACAATACAAAGTTAGGCAGCAGATTTATAAGAAATATTGAATATAAAGAGGGCTCCGGACGTAGCTCTACATGCGAACTCTAATAATATGCAGTCACGTGTGCTACATCGCGTAGGTTATTTTTGGGTTATTGAAGTAGAACAACAGAGGTTATTTTTGGTAGGGCTGTCAAAACGGCTCGTTGTTCGTGAACAGCTCGTGTTTGGGTCGTTCGCTAAGTTAACGAGCCGAACACGAACAACACGAACAAATATTTGTTTGTCGTGTTTGACTCGTTTTGGCTCGAAATACTACTAATTATATATATATCTTTGATGAGTAGTATTTTTTAAAAATTTAATTGACTACAATGCTACAAAGATTTATAATCAAATTAAAAGTACAATCAATTAAAAGTACTAATGAAGAAAATAGAATAAAAATTATTAAATTAGATTCAAATGATGTTTTAAATTTTGCCCCAATTCTTAATATTTTATGACTACGTAATTAGGGTTGTCAAAATGACTCTTTATTTGTGAATGGCTCGGGTTCAGCTAGCTAAGCAAATGAGGGTTTTCGCCCCGAAAGCCAACCGAGCCGAACACGAGCTGAGCCTGGGCTTGCTCGTGTTTAACTCTTTTACACCAAGGATTTTGGGGTTATTTTGGAGTTATTGAAGAGAAACTCGTATATTCACTTTAATAACCCTGAAATAACATCTGCGGTTCCATTTCAATAATCCCGAAATAACACCGCAGAGGTTATTTCGGCGGGGTTATTTTTAGGTTATTGAAGAGAAACTCATATATTACATTTCAATAACCCTGAAATAACACCGCCGAAATTATTCTGGGATTATTTCTAAATTATTGCGGGGGTTATTGAAGTTCGCAGTTTATTTTTTTATGTGGGTCTGATATTGCACAAATGACTTTATATTACTGGGAGTCCGCACGTAGAGCTATATCCGAAGTTTGGATAGAAAATTTTTCCAGAGGAGAGAACGAGAGGATGGTAGAAAGACCAAAAAAAAGTTTAAAATCCACCTTTTAGAATTTCAATTCATTCAACAATAATCCAAATACAAGCATCTCAAGTGTAGAAAAAAAATACAAAGGTCAAATAATTTTGAATCAAATCAATTCCTATTCAAAATCTAGCCTTGACAAACAATTCAAAATTAAGCCTGAAATGATTAAAAGGATAAACCATCCTAATTTAATATAAATCTAGAAATACTGATTACATGAAATAAAACTAAAATAAATCCTTATTAATCTATAACATATTTTCTTATGTAAAATCAATTCTCCTATATTACAAAGAGCTCGACAAAAAAAAGTTAAATGTTCCTAAAGAGTGTTGAAACTCTACTCGCAGAGAAAACTTCAAAGGAACTTTGGAGGCTCAAAAGGCCTTTATATGATAACAGATTTCTCATACATAAATTAGGATCAGCATCCAAGTTAAAAAGCAAAATACAAAAGCTACATGTACAAGCTTTTTAAAAATATAGAAAAGGTTTGAAATTATAGTAGAAATTCTTTGCTAGTAATACAAAAAAGTATTCAATATAAAAGTAATGTAGAACATAAATTTCAACATGATTACCCTGAACTCTTTAAAAAAAAAGATTTCATTAAAATGTAGTGCAAGTAATGCAGAAAATAAAAATATATTGGAATTAGGGATAATGAAGAAGCCTATAAAGGATAATCTCATTAGGATAAGAAGTTAACAACTTAATATAAACATCAAAAAAAAATTCAAAGCACTTCTCATTAATAATACACTAACAAAAAAAAGCATATTAGTAAGGCAAACTACTTCTTTAGAATATAATAGACCAAACTAAGTGATTATTGGATAATATAATCCATCTACCTTTAGCATTAAAAGCATTTTTGTACCCAGAATTTCATGTAGGAAGCTATTAATATAAAATTCATAATATGTAGTTTTAATTCACTATTTTTCAAAAGATTATTATTTATTATTTAATATGTTTGATAACATAAAATCAAATACAGAATCAATAAAAAAATAAAGAATATTAATAGATAACTCCTTGCAAGTGTGATAGGTCATATTTAGTTTCATGCATAAGTTTTGAGTCCAATTCAAGTTCATAAGAAGATTCAAGTAACACCCAAATGTAGAAAAAAGTGCATGTTTAGATCCACTCTTATATTTAAGTTTAGATTCTAGTATGTTTAACTATAACTCATCTGGTAACAAAGACTACTCTTCTGGATAGTAAATGGAAATGAGACTGTACTTCTTTATATCCTCAATATGACCAATCTATTTTGCATGGAGATTTAATTATATACTTAAGCAGGAAAATAAAAGACCTCCAGTGCCACTAGAGCATGTGTCGATTTGACTATATTGGGATAATCATCAATGTCACTTAACAACAATCTTATAAAGTGAACTACAGTAGGTTCAAGGTTTACCCTTTGCTGATAATATGAAAGAAACTAATCAACAAAGCTTCAGTATATTAATCATCATAAAGGGGGTTATAAGTATTTATATTATTAGAATGATGCATATTGTACTGGTTAATGATAACTATCTTAGAGGTTTTTCCTGCTGTCTTTGTTAGTCCCATCATAGAGACTCAGTTTGATATTAATAATTTGGAAAATTGTCTAACTTTTATGTGAAAGCATCAACTAAGATTGAATATGATGAACTACAGATCAAGCACGCATGAAAAACACCAAAATTTACTTGGTTCAATAAAAATTTGCTACACACAAGAAATGAGAGGAAATCCAATTCACTAAATGTAAGCCATAAATAATAAAAAAATAATAACATACACTGGCCATCCATTCCAACAAACATAAGCGCACTACTTTGATCGACAAAAGCAAAATTTCAAGTTTCTAAAGAAAATTAAGAAAAAAATAACACAAGAGAGCCGCTAAACAATAAAGACTAAGTATAAGAAAAATATGCACTTTGAAAGTTATTCAAAAGCTTCCTTTATAACCCTCTATATATGCTCGAAATTTCTAAAGCAATGGCACTATTGAGATGATACTCAAAGGTCATCAAAACATGCCTTTACTAATTTTCTCCTATCTATTACACTTGCTCTTCCACTATAACTAATTATATATTTCATAACTATCACTACCTCTCTTACCCCCTCTCAGGCCAATGCCGCGCCCCAATTTTGCACACCTTGAACATGCAAATCAATAGGCACAAAGTTTCGATTTATAGATTTATAAAGAGAAGAATTTAAATCTAGTTCAAATTTTGACCTAATATTTTTAAAAGATAAAATTATCCTAGTAATCTTTTAATCAGCTTTTATCATAAAAAATATAATTTATTATCATTCTATTAATCCTCTTATTTTACATTTTAGCTTATGCTACCAAATTATTGAGTCAGCAAAACCTTGCAAATCTCCCCCTTTGATTCAATAATGTGGCAATAACCTAGATCTTCGATGCAACTCTTCTCTATGCCAAGCATTCTATGCTCATAAAGCCTCAAAGTTAACTCAATAAACCAAAAATATTCCAGACTTTGCACCCGCAGGATTCCACCAAAACAGGTATGTTATATGTACAAATTGACCCATTACAACTGAAAGTGCGCTTGTCCTGCATTTTGAAAACGATAGGTGTCGTCTCCTCACTCATATTACAATTTATGACATGACATTGGGACAAATGTGAAACATAAGATTCTGCATCCTTTTGTTTCAAAACCTCTAAAATAGCAAAAAGCAAACTTTATTATGCTTTCCTAAATCACAATGCTTTGTCATAGATGAAAAAAGACTGAGCCAAGTCTATACTAAGTTTGCAGTTTGCACCTTGTAAAATGGAGTCTACCAACTCTATTTGCCTTCACGACGATCGAAGAATTTTTGTAAACTTATGAATAACTACATCTCCAAAGAGCTTGTACATGTATCATGAAAATGGAGAGCGCTCAAAGGTCAAATTTTATTGAAATTTGATCCGTGACTAACTCCATCTTATGTCTACCTACAAAATCATACTTTCAAAACTTAAAGATTCCAAAATGAACCATCCTGACCTAAAATAATTCTCAATATGAGCATAGCTGCTGAAACATGATGCATGATTATAATGTATCACCATATTAGGTCAAATATGATATAACCAAGTAAAATCTAGAATCCATTATTCTTTGAATGTGTCTCCATCAATCAATAAAAGAGTAATACATATAATAGAAGGATAATATGCAATAACACTGGATTCTGCTAACTTATCCATCTTATAGTTTTCATCTGCATGCTAATCATTGCTCTTCAAAAGATGACAATCTTTCTTAATGTGCCATTCTTATTATCATAGAGGCAAGTAATATCCTTACAGTTATCACAAAACATCAGATGTACTTCGAGGTAGATCCCTCAAAAGACCATCTTAATTTATAATTCCTTATCATACTTCTCATCTCTAACACACTCAAGCTCAACAATTATTTCTTAGAAAGAAGCGAGTTATTAACATCCTCAAAGTTGATGGGAAATCTATCATACAATATGGGGTCACAAACATGCTTAAAAGAGAAGAGTAAAGAGCATAATGTTAAACAAACTTGCTCTTCATAATGCCTGCATATGATAAATGAATTGAATGCGATATTACTTGCTAGGTTTGCAGGGACAAGAAAAAATAAGGGGGGAGCATGTAGGCACATAAGTATCATAAGTGTGAGCACAGCAACAATGGCTGCAGGTGGCACAAAGCGTACTCATGAAGCTTAGGAAAGCTAGTCGCATATTGATGACTTGGTGGGTGTGTAAGGGAGAAGCATGCAGATGGCATACCAAGGAGCTCATAAGTGACTAGACCTAGCAATTCATTGAGACACGGTTATGTTCAAGTGGGTCCATGCGAAGCAACATGTGGGACAGTCGCACATGATAGATGTGGGAGGAACCATGCAGACATTGCAGTTGAGTGTGAACCCCATGAGTAGCTCACTATTTGATTTGATTATAGCAAAGCAAGTGTGGTGTGGTGAAATATGTTTATCAAGTGTTAATAGATGTAACAGAGCTCAAAGAAACATATTTTACGGTCATAGAGGGTCTTTAGCTTGCTAAAATCGCTTGGTGAATACACGTCCATGTGCTTAGTCTTATAGAGTGAAATTTATATCAAGTGCACTCATTACTTATAAGCTCTCTTGTACGCATATATCTAAATATCACCATGTCTTGTATTTGAATTTAACTTCAAATGTTTAGGTGAAAATTGGTATAATTGATATATCTCTTGTGTAGTTGTGAAATTTTATCGAGTTTGAGTTTGCAGTTTATCTCACATATCTACATCAAGCCTAATCATACAATCCTATGCCCAATTAGTCCTGTATGGTATTTTCTTGCATTATTTGTAGCTTTCGTCGATTGATTTTATTAATATTACTTATGCTAACCATTTAAAATTGAAAAAATGAATATTTTGAGAAGAATCATATCAATCACCCCCAATACTGCTGTCATTCTATTATCAATTAGCAATGGGGCAAGAGAAACTAATTTGTAACCCTTGAGCATGAAAAAATGAGATGCTGACAATGAACTTGGTGCATGCGGAAGCAAGAAATACTAGTAAAACTATCTCGGACAGCATAAGCGATACAAAAGAAAACACACAAGTACACGAACGTTGATGGCTTAGATGGGAATCAAAATAAAATCAATATTCAATTACATTCGATAAATCAACCTAGCCTTGGGAGTCCTTTAAATAGCGCAAGAATTTTAAGCTTATAAGAAAGAAAATGGCAAAATAAATAAAGAAACAAAAATATGCTATGGCAAAAAATAAACCTTGAAACAAAATTCAAAACCTTTCAAATATAAAACTCTAAATAAAGCAAGGTAATATTTAATTAATCACACCGGGCATAAATTTTTATCAAATGAACATCATCATGGTGGGTGGGTCGTGATGTGGAGGGAAAAAAAAATAAGGTATGGGTGGTATGGGAAGCACGTGCAGGTAGATTGGTTGGGAGGTGGAGTAAGAATTCATATAAAAAATTTGTAGTTGAAACAAAAAGAAGAAAAACGAGAATCTGAATATCTCCCATTATTGCCAGAATCATCACTATCATTGTAACATTAAATGGAGAAGGGTTGGAAAGAAAGTCAAAGATGCAACATTTGGAAAATTTATAATTGGAACAAAAAAAAAAAAACAGAATATCTAACTATATCCCACCATAATCATCAAAACATTACCTTGTGATGAGAATGCATGTGAAAAATTTATAGTTGATACAAAAATTAAATAAAATTACTCTGACTATCCCCCATCATTGCAATAGTCATCATTATCATGATAACCTCACACAAGTAAGAGTTAGCAAAAAGGTCAAAGATACATGCATGTGGAAAATTTATAGTTTAAACATAGAGCAAATAAAATGATTATATGATTATCTCCCGCCTTTGTTGGCATCATCATTATCATTGTATACTTACCCCAACTACTTTACATTGGTTGTATTAACCTCATTGTTCATTCATTTATGTTGGACGCTATAATAAGTTTTCATCACACCAGGCATAAGTTTTTATCAAATGATCATCATCATGGTGGAAGAAAAAAAAGAAGGTATGGGTGGGTATGAGATGTGTGTGCACGCGCATGTAGATTGATTGGGAGGTGGAGTAAGAATCCATATTAAAAATTTATAGTTGAAACAAAAAGAAGAAAAATGAGAATGTGACCATCTCCCATTATTGCCAGAATCATCACTATCATTGTAACATTAAATGGAGAAGGGTTGGAAAGAAAATAAAAGATGCAACATTTGGAAAATTTATAATTGAAAAAAAAAAAAGAATATCTAACTATCTCCCACCATAATCATCAAAACATTACCCCAATTGCTTCATGTTGGCATGTGCGCAAGGGGAAGGGGATGGTGAGAATGCATGTGAAAAATTTATAGTTGATACAAAAAGCAAATAAAATTACTCTCTGACTATTCCCCATCATTGTCATCGTCATCATTTTCGTGATAACCTCACATAGGTAAGAGTTAGAAAAAAGGTCAAAGATACATGCATGTGGAAAATTTATTGTTTAAACATAGAGCAAATAAAATGATTATCTGATTATCTCCCGTCTTTGTTGTCATCATCATTATTATTGTATACTTACCCCAACTCCTTTACATTGGCTGTATGAACCTCATTGTTCATTCATTTATGTTGGATGCTACAATACGTATTAACTCAGATTTGCAAGGTCATTTTGTAAAACTTCTAATATATTATATTTAATCTATCTCTTTCATACTTAATGCTTCATGATAATTTTCTCCACCCATCTTTACTATCTCTCATAATTTAAAGAAAAGTTAAATATGGAAAATTGATGATACTTCAAGAGTATCAATTAGCTTTGTAAGAAACTAGAAATGGTTACAAAATGTTTATGAAGTGTTTTAGGGACCAAAGGAAACAAAAAACATCAATGAAGAGAATCAAATAATGGCATGATAGAAAATTATACCACAAATCATGCAACAAAGGGGAAGAAATAAACCTGGAGAGTCATCAGTCATCATGTACACTTCACTTGTTGAGTATATGCCTCCAAGTACAGTTCGTTTCACATACCAATCAATGTCTGAACCGTGGTCTCCAGCAGCATGCCATATCTCATCCATTAAAGCAGCTCGCTGCTTCAGACTTGTTGGGAGATTCATTGGTTGAGCCTGTCACTGCAAATATTAGTACCACAGATATGACACTGCATAATGAAGGGAAGTGCTTAACAAAAACTTCGTACCTGAATGCTCAATGCCTGAGGCCACTTTGATATATAAGGCACTTGCATTTCTAACCTGATTCGAATAAGCTTAACTAGGCGGTCACTGAGTATCAAATCATTCAAGTCCACTCCTGAATCAATACGATCAATAAGCTTCTGCAGACAATCATCCATGAAAAACTGAAAAGCAAGAGATACACCACATGAGCAAAATCATCTTGAATACTGTTTCTCCATGTAGACTAAGGTTTGCATAAGTAAGAAATAGTCGAAGTCAGGAAAAGAAAGACCTCAAAAAGACAATTAGAGTATATATAATGCTGATGAAGCTTTCATGATAAATTGGCTTTTTTTTCTTTTTTCTTTTTTTTTCTTTTTTTTTATATTTTTTAAATTTTTAAGATAGCTTAGATGGACGCCCAAATATATTATTTCATTTCATCTCAAACCATATGATTTTGACAAACACACTAGTTGCCTTCTCTGAACAGTTTGGACAATGTATAGAAGATGAGGTAGCAAACAGAAAAGTAAACTTATTATTTGTTCGATTTAATATCAAATCATTAGTGGTTCTTTCTGTATTTTAAATTTAAAATAATAGTTTAATTTTAATTTCAGCTTCACATCGTCTGTTCCCATCTTGAAATTTCAAGACCCCGGGCCGGGTCATGACACTTTTTAATCAGTATCCTCAAAACTCTGGCACAAATAATAGTCACATACCTTCATAAACCATAGGAACTGATCAGGTCATAGTTGACAAGTAGGTTTATTCTACAGCCTCAGCTGAATGCCAATTACTAGAAATATTGCAGAATAAACGATGTCATAGACTTTCAACACTAGCTTTTCAAGTGTTGAAACAACGGGAAATGAAGGGTAAAAAAGGATTTAATATAACACCTTCAAGGTAAATCGCTTGATTCCAAATTTTACTATCGATCAACGTTGCTGGGTCTGAAACAACTATAATTTAAAAGAAATAGAAGTTGCCACTATGCTTATTCAGATAAATGACACGATCAATCAATTTGGCATCCAAATAGACCACCAATTTCGCCCAAAGCACTCATAATTAAGGATTATGCATTAATTATTTATAATTTTGAAGTCTAAATTTTATTAGATCATAACAAATTTATACATGCCTAGGAACCTCCTATTTTTAACCAAAACGAGTAAAAAATAGTAACCTCTCAAAATCCTCCAAAATCTAGACTAACAAGGCAAGTATCAATTCAACACGTTTCAATGCCATAAGAACGACAAATTTTTAACCATAGAGGTTGCCACTATACGTCAAGATTTATAAGGTTTCACAAAAACAATAACCTAGATCAATGGCAGAAGAATGAGAAGTAATCCACATCCAAGAAGTCATGTGAGCGTACATAACAAAAGGGGCACAAGAAACTTGTCATTCCCAAAGCCAAATACACACAACCTCACCACAAAAAGAAGCCTCAATTATTTCAAACTAAAGAAGAAAAGATCTCCTAATATCTTATAGAAATTACAAAACCTAAACAAGAGAGATAAAAAACAAAAGAATCTAAAGCATATTGAAAATTTTACACCAAGTTGCTTCTCAAAGAAGCCTATTCTCCTTGTTTTCATCGCTTTATTATTTCTCAATAACAAAGAGCTAGAGCCCTCATGCAAATCCCTCGTTCCTCTCTTCTATAAACCATTTATAGGAGTTTAAGAAGGTCAAAATCCAAAACAAAATTTTACCCAAATAATGCATACAAAAACTTATAAGTAATTATTATCTAAGGAAAAAAAGAAGATTTGTACTTAATCTAAATCAATTAATTTAATTTTTGTGCTTATCTTGAAAATATAATTGAGGTAATACCCTAATAGAAGGAAACCAAAGTGGTAATATGGTCTCTCTCTCTCTATGTTAAATCAATGGAGTTGTCTGACTCCCAAACAATAAAAGGCTTCATATTGCTTTAATTAATTTTGTTAGGACAATGAACAGTGTGCTTAAAACATGATGGAATAATAAACGATACATGTGAGTATATCGTAAAACTTTGAACCTATTGATCCCATTTCTCTAAATTACTTCAAATTCAAAAAGATCCAAAAGAGATGTTCCAGAAATTGGAAATATGAGCTCCATAATAATGATGATAGATCACATCAGAAAAGCGAAAAAACTTTGGAAGCAATTGCATTTCGGTGATGAGCAAGGATTCACTAGATTGAGGACTAATGTAGGATGCTTAACTTGCTACAAACCTCAAAATTATCAGAAACAATGAAGTCATGCTAAGTATGAATTCTCATGGGATACTCATCTTTTTGAAAACTTGAATGGATTTAGTCACAACAAAGAAAGTGAAACTAGATTAAGAATAATATCTGCTTGCTCATGTTACTATGGCAAACTTAAATCAGAGTAAGGTCTACTACCTTTCTTGTGACCTATCAGCAGTGGAATTATCATTGTACTTGAGCACTTGACACACTATCAAGTTATCCTTTAGCTACTAAAGAAGCCAACTTTTCATCTTCATTTTCATAAAAGCTAAGAAATGGATGCCGGCTGAACTGAAGATAATTAGAATCAGCACAAATCTCTAATGCCAAATTTTAAGCTGTTTTTCATAGGATTTTCATCAAAAAGTTGTACTTATTGGCTGTTCATCTAAAAGACTTCTTTTACTTAGAATGCTCCTAGGCATTGCCTCTTGTCGAGCACACTAGCTTGCATGTAATTGTAAGCATCTTGCTGAACTTATGTTTTACAATTTTCACTTTCAGGTGAACTTCAACCTGCCCTACCTTTTAAAAAACTCACTCTACCTAGTAAAATGCCAAGCAAAAGATGATCTCTCATTGAAGATAATGTACAAAACAGGCTGTACTTTCAGTTCCTATATTAACATGATCATTTGCTAAAGCAACAACTTGATTGTAAGAATTTTGAACTACAAAAAACCAATTGCACCAACTCTAAAAATTAAAAGTATAAAGTTATACAAAATTCTAAGGCAACGAAAGCAAAATTCCTTACAATATTTATTGAGGAACCACGAAAGATGATCTGGCAAACCAAACTTGATTGCAGGTGTATATCGTACCAAAAGTCTAAAGTTTCTCGAAGAAGCCTGGCGTTAAGGAGAAATACAGAATCAATCTAACATGTTTCCCAATCTAAAAGAGATAGGGAGGGGAGAAAATATGATCCCCACTCCCTCACCCTCTTTCTCCCCCTCTTCAACTCCACTTAAGGAACATTCTGACAGAGTACTTGAAATCTTAATTTTGAAAATCCTCTCAGCATTTGAGGAACTCCCTTAAAAAGATCAAATGGTTCTTGCTCAAGTGATTACTCTCCTTAGTCATGAAAGTGCCATAATGGAATGAATGACTCTCTAAAATAGATCAAGTAGTACTTGTTCCAATAAGTACTATTGTTATGGCACTATTTATAGACAATTTTAAGAGACAATGGGACTGCTATAGATGACGGCCTTAACTGAGTTTCCAACTAACTAGCTGCTAAGCTAAAAATTTGCTTCATCAACCTTGTAACTAACAATGATTAAGTCAAATACCAGTATCAAACACAAATCTATTTCATATCTCTCTTACTTAATCCCTCTCCTCTGCATCAGTCAACTTGATTCTTACTAAACAGGTAACTTTAATGTCCGCACATGACCAAGCAAGTTCAATGATTCTAGAAAGTTGCCTTGTCAACCTTTCCAAGCTCTGGAAAGTAGCATTGGATGTTAGGGCAACTTCAATGCTTGGTGATTGGTTACGTTAAACTCTCACTTGGATAACTTGTATCCTTGGACAAATTGGAAAAACAAATTTCACCGTTATAATTCTGGGACAAATTAAATTATTCTTTCGACTACTTCAATGTTTGGATTAGTTGAACAGTCCTTCGGATAACTTTAATTCTTGACTAAGTTGAACTCTCCCTTGAACAAATTCAATTCTTGTATGAGTTAAACCCTCTCTAGGACGGCTTCATGCATGAGAAAAGCTTAGGTTCGCATTCTAACTGAATTAATCTAGCTCAGTTTATCATAGGTCTACAAAATTTGCCACCTAATCGGCAGCACAAAGGTGTGGACTTACCAGAACACAATATAGATAGCGGTAAAAGTGCAAAGAGTTCGCCAGATTTTTTTTCTAGATTTAAATATGCATATGTGCCCTTTTTTTGCTTCATAAAACAAGTAAGGCCTGGATTCGTATGTTGAGATCAAAATGTTCAAAAGATGAAAAAAGAAAAGAACTCCACCTCGACGAGCGCTGCTTCCCTGCGAGGGAAAGAACCCACAATGGAGGGGGAGACGCAGACATCTCTCGCCCCATAAATCATAGCCGAATCGCTCCATCCCACTCTTGGCTGTTCACGAAACCATAAAGACAATTCCATTCAAAAGATCACCTACTAAATCGGGAGACATAACTTTGGAGAAGCAAACTTACAACGTGAGAGAGTGCAGCGCGGAGGACCCTCGCCTGCTCATCTTCGTAGCTGCTCCTGACTTTCGCTCTGTTGCCCCAATTATCACGGGCTGCCCCGTGATCTTCTCCTCCTCCTGAAATTGGGGTTTCTTGATTCGGCTGCTGTTCATGGATGAAGGGGTTCTGAGGAGACGGGGGAACGGAAGAAGCATCGGTGGGGAAGCGGAGAAATGGCGTGACGAATAGGTGGCGACGTGAACCGGTGCTGTGCTGAATAAAACGACACGCCGCTGATCGGATCATTTCAGACTACGGCATAGGATTCAGGCGTGAGGGAGGGGAAGCTAATGAGCAGAACTCTAATTGCATATTTATGAGTAAAAATAAAAAATATATATATTACTTGGCTAGCTGAGCTTGTGGTGTCCAGTCAAAAAATTTTGTGGAGTGAAAAATGTGTATTTCTTTATGAGGACGTTTGTTTGAAAAAAAAATATTTACTCATTTAGTTTGAACAATATTTAATAAATCATGTAAATCCAAATTTAAATCCTAAAAATTGTTTGATATATTATTAAATAAATTCTAATAAATCTGAAAATTTGTTTACCAACTTTAATATGATTTACTAAATCTCTATCTCCTCACATATTTCAATTTCTTTAAATCCCATAAATTTTACTTTTTACGGGATTTGATTAAAGGCAAAACAAAGGTAAAACAGGATTTAAGAACCTGAAGGATTTATGCAGTTGCTTTTTGTTGTTTGGCGGGATTTAGGATATGTTTAGGGCAGCTGCAGTTTATCCAGCTTCTGCTGATAAGCAGCTTATCATGATAATCTGCGGATGAGCAGCTGATCCGGATAAGTTGTCTGGTTGTTTAGTTTATGTGTTTGGAAAACAGTTGATTCTGGATAAATGACAATTCTGCCCATGTTTTGAATTAGTTTAGTTGTTTGGTTAGAGCGTTTTGAAAACAGCTTATTTACAGGTATTTTTAAGTAAATTAACCAAATATCAAGTTAATGATTAATAAGAATTTTGCTTAACTAATTAATCACTAATTAATATTTTATTATTAATCATTAATCATTAGCTAGTTATTTATTTAGTTATATAATCATTAATTAGAATTTACTAAACTAATAAAACATTAATCAATACTTAAACTTTCATTAATTAATCATGAATCAATTATTTACCAAGCATATATCAATTGTAATTAAATTAATAAAATTAAAATTAACTTAAGATATCATTTTATCCAATCATTAAATGGTAATCAATTCTATTTATTATAATTAACTTATATTAAATTAAACAAAAAATAACTTAAATGTAAAAATATCCACATTAATTTCTATCTAGTAAAGAGTTTTTAATTAAGCAAATTAATGCAGAAATTTTAACTTCTCTCAAGTAGCCCTTGCTACCTTCTCCTTCCTCCTCTTCCCCCGAAACCCTCACCAACAGTAATTTGAAGCTAGCTGGGAAGGTTGCCATGTAATCGAAGTGTCCGAGGAAGGCGATCTCCATTACTCCCATCTCTCTCCACCTTCTCCGCTTCTACCATCGTGTTTCCTCGCATCCCCTTTCGTACGCTTCAATCAACGTGAATCCTGTAAATTTGCCACAAGCTTCATCTCTAAATGCCCTCGCTTCTTCAGCCGTCACTTGCTGCTCAACACGGCATGTCTATCCAGCGAGTGCAGCCGAGCCATCACAAGAGCAACAGAGAGAGGGGATCGATTGCTATCCGGGAGGGCGACAAAGAGAGATCGATTGCGGTTTTGAGAGGCACGTACGACAGAGGACAACGGAGTAATTGGGAACAAAACACGATGAGGGAATGCGGCCCGCAGGGATGGTCCTGCGGTCGCGTTCTTTATAAAATGAAAACAACGATTTTCAAAACGCACATAAAACATGGATAAAAAACACTAGGGCGGCGTTTTGAAAACGCTGCCCGCTGTTTTAAGTTGTCCCAAACGGGGCCTTAGCGTAAGTCTTGCTTAAAAGCGGCTACCCGACATCCCTTATAATTTAAATGATGATACTTTTTATGTGATATAGAACATTTGGGTGATATAAATGTAAAAAATAAAATGTATATAATTGATACGCCACCAATAAATTTTCATCATCCGACACGAATTTCGGTGCAATTTTTTAAACAAGAAACATTCAAACTTTGATTAAGAGTCATCCAGAGCTCCGATTTCAGCAAACTTATAGTCAAATTGATCGGCTCGATGAGATGGACCTAATGATATGAAAGTCGATCCAATCCGAGTCAAATCAAGCCGGATCAAATCATTAAACTACTATTGGAGGATTTCTGGAGGCATTTGAAAGGTCAAACAGATGTCGAATCTAACGAGTTCATTGTTGAATCGAGCGTCTTAATAAGACGAATCCAACGAGCCCAAGATTGGTCAATTCCGACATCATTAAGGCACTCAAATATCCATCAAACGTCATCTGATTAAAATAAGCTCTCTGGACCGTCCGATCAAAATGGTTCATATTCTTGCATTAATTGCACTCAAAATAGAGTAAATAGAGTCTCACCCCTCACATGAAAGGGATGAGGCTTAAGAGAGAACTTGAGGCTTTGAAAAGGAGCTCAAGTCCAAGATCATCCTTGTCTTCGTCGATCGTCGTCGACCACCACTGACTGTCGACAACCACCGCTGACCTCGGTTGACCACTGCGGACCACCTTTTATCTTCGTCGATCGGGGCTGCCCTCCTCCGCCACCCGCCGACCGTCATCGACTGTCATCAGCCACCGCTGACCTCCATCGATCACCACCGACCGTCATCGATTATCGTTAACTAACGTCGATCACCGCCGACCTCCGTCAACCACCGTTAACTAGGCGTCGTCAGTCGACGTTGTAACTTGGAAAGCTAGTAACAATTTCCCGTGTGTGGGACAAGAGACATCTGTAATCGTCAACTTATAGTGGATTCTCATAACTGGGTCAGACTCCGTGGTTTTTTCCCTTTACGGGTTTTCCACGTAAAAACTTCTGGTGTTATCACAACTTGTTTCATTTTCATCTGAGTGTGTGTTGAATCCTCACGCAACGCTAAGACAATAATTCATTACTCTACAGCCGCGAATTTTCTAGTACGCATCAATGTAAATATATAAGAATTTGGTGATATGCGTTTAAATGACTCCTGATTTGTTTAATCTTATTTTGGCTCAACCAAAACTTTAAAATTTAAGAAAACTTTGTTTTTTTTTTCATTCTAGGAATTTTTTTTCGTGTAGCAATTAATTTTCAATTAAAAACCCATCATTTTAAATTCAGATTTAAATGCATAATCAATAGAGAGCCTTTCTCTTCAATTAAGTAACCTAATCCTTTATTTGTATCATAATTGCCACTAACACTAAATTTGACTCAGAAAACAAAGTTATAGTTTAATTAAATAAAATTAGAAGGAAAAAAAAATTCAGCCATACAAACATGTGCAGGACACATACATGTTGTTGCAGGTGTCATATTGTAGTACAAATTAGAAAAATATATTATGTCAGGATGAACAAATGTTCGGACAACGGCGTGGAACGCATCATGTCGTCGAACACACGGTGTGGTGTGATTCACGCTTTCGTCCGCACTTCCTGTTACCCTGATATAATATTTTCTCTATCAATTCAACCGTATAAACCGTTTTCTTGGTCAAAGGCTGCTGTTGAACCTCTTGAAATGCTAAAATGTGCAAAAAGTTCATTCTATATATTTAAGTAAATTTTGCGAAAAAAAAGGCTGATCCAAATAAAAAAAAAAATCAAATAACTCAATCAATGATCAATTGTATACAATATGTACAATCTCATTATACATGAATTTCGGATATTTTTTTAAATAAAAAAATATGCTGACACACAAACACACAACATGAAGTTAGCTTATTTTCGGCAGAAACACAACATGAAGTTCGCTTATTTTCGGCGGAAATAAAATGCCTCTTTTGTATTTTCACATGTCATATTTGTCTAAATTTCTTGGTATAAAACTTTTTATTGTTATAAAATGGTTAAACTAATAAGGACAAATCACATGAAGTTAGCTTCCGTGGTAGTGTAGCAAATATATAATCATCATATATTTCAACTCATTAATATGCCATCAAATATAGATGAGCATGTACAACAAATAGAGGGGCAAGTCGTCTGTCAAACATATGAAACATAGATCGTGGGTCCTACCCGCGATCCGCGTCTAATAGTAAAATAAAAACGGTGTTCTGTAAAATGCTCGTGAAATGGGATTTCCAAACTGAAGGTGGCGCTTTGAAAACGTCACCGCTGCAAATAAACTCTCCCAAACACACCCTTAGAGTAGAAAGTAAGCTATATAGGCTAAACAACAGTGCATTGAAGATATGTTTCAGTGTTGCTTAGAATTACCAGCCTCCACCTCCACCAATTACTCACAAAGATACTGCAAATGGAGGACACTGGGTAGTATAAAACTATTAGAAATTATTATCTCTCTCTCTCTCTCTAGCAATTTGATGAAGCAACACAATAATAATTATATCATTAATAAAAAAATATTTAGAAATTCATTGTGAATCTAAATTAAATTATATGACATGGAAATATATTTAAAGACTCGATTTAATATGTCTAGTGTCATAGGAATTTTGCTAGAATTCAACATATAAAAAATAATTATGTTATTAATAATAATTTTAGCATATTTTTTTTTGTAAATTTCTAATTCTTTAAAATAAAACCCCAGAAAATTAAAATATTTTGAATATGATTTAAATTTGTATTTATTATTTTTTTTTTTTTTTTTTTTTTTTTGCTTTAAATGCTGTGTTTGTTGAGAGTAGAAGCCATTTGGGACAGGAATTTCTTTAATTATGCTTCTCTACTATTGTTCATATGTGGTCAAGGCTCTTCACTTAGGCAAATATTTAAATTTTTTTTGTATCTAACAATAGCATGGCTACTTTATAAGAAAAAACTACACTTACAATATCTCTCATAATTATAACTTTGATAACATACTTATTTATCCTATAGTTTGTTAATTTTATAGTCCGAAAAGGAAAATGATGTCTTAATAGATTGAATTTATGTATTACACTCGTTCTTCATCATGGTCGGAAAATATCTGACGACTCCATTGTCAACTAATCTCAAATGTTTCTTGTTGATTGTTGATACACTCATCGTTGTCATCATCCATTGTCATGCTATAGGAACACTGAGATATGTCTCTCCTATCCGAGCTATTATGGTGTGTTAACCAATTTTTGCACTTTGGAAAATTGTGGTCCTTTGTAATTATTAATTTAGAGTAGTGAGATTGTGTTAATTAGGCAATGC